ATGTCACGTCCGTATAAAATATACACTTGGTTCTGAAGACTTAGAATGAGAGAGAGAAAAAAAAAAGTAAAATCTCTCATCAACACATTTATTTCCTTTACAGGTCAAACATTTTAGAGATTCTGGGTTAAGTAAAGCATATCATTAAATATACTTTGATTAATTAATTGATTCTCTTTCTTTCTCCTTTTTAAAAATATGACTTCCAGAAATTTTTAAATCACACATGTGACTTGTACTTTACTGAACAGCACAAGTCTGCAGCATCAACTAACTCAATCACGTTTCAGACTTGTCTAAATAAGAGGTTTCATTATGTGCATCACCTCCCAGAAGCCAGTTTCTTCCTTCCTGAAACATTTGAAGGGCTTCCTCCTTAATTAAAATAAAAATCAGTGACACGTGGTTCTGTGTCCTCAAAGAGCCCATGCAGCTTCAAACAATTTTATTCAAATCAGGGAAGTAATCCCGGTTCATCATGCCCTTTTAAAATTGCTCTTGTTCAAGCAAATATTTCTTGGCCAAGTTCCAAATTTACGCTTTTACACACATACCACATCACTACTTTTAATCTTTTTTTGGCATTAATATTTAAAAAGGGGGAATCGGAGTTAAGAAGAGAGGAGCAAAGTGATGTGAGGAAATGTAGCAGAGCCCACCGAGCCGGTCTTGCAAGGCGATGGAGGCAAGAGAGAAAAGCAGCCCGACCCAGCAGTGTCTGCAGGCTGCTGCTTGCTGCCTCGGCGGGAGGACGGGGAGATGGGGAAGGGGCTGTCCCCCTTCAGAGCTTCCCCAGCCCTTCTCCGGGAGGCAGGGCTGAGCCACCCGAGGCGGAGCCCAAGTCACATACCTGAATGTGGGAGAAACAGCTGTGGCGGGCAGGGATGCTTGGCTCTTGCACTTTGGATGCGAAAACGTTTTTCTGCTTAACCCCCAGAGTTTCCCCTCCAACAGTAGACGCCCCTGATGGGCACTGAGCACATGCCAACCTTTTTCCATATATAATCCTCCCAATAACCCCAGGAGGAAGCAAGAGGTCGTGGTGCCAAGTAATTAGAGTCGCTCTGTGAGTAGATGGTAGAAAGCAGGTTAGAATCCAGCCTTCAGGGGCCATGGGCCGGATCCGAACCCAGACTCCAGCCGCTTCACAGTACTGCCTCGCCCAGCTCTCTGATCCAAGCTACTCCGTCCCTCCCCGGCGAGCAACAATCCAAGAGCCCAGAGCTAGCACTTCTACATTCTCTCACATGTATTATTTGACATTACCTGAAAATTATAATAAATTCAGGATGTCGAAAACTAAGTCAACCCAGGGCAATTTTTTATAAGATGTTGAAAGTCTACAACCTTAGAAATCCATTTTAACAGTGATCAAAAAAGAAGAGAAGTCAGCAAAAGGCAGATTTATCTCAGATTTTATCCCAGTGGAGTATTAGCAAGGAACTGAGAGAATTCTATGAAGAAACTGGTTTTTGCTACAAGGCGCGTGCGTGACCGAAGGGTTGCATGCAGATTCCATCCCCGGCCCCGCTGCGGAGTGTGTCCCCCGGTGTAGTATCTCATAGCATCTTTAGGTTTCCTTCATATTTACAGTCTCTAGTATCTCTCAGCTCTTTACTCGTAGAATTAGTATAAGCTTATGGGGCATAAAATTTAAACAGATCACATAAAATGCTTGGAACAAATCCTAATATGTAGCAGAAGCTCAATAAATGTTAGTGGGTATTACTCTTTATAGTCTTTAATGTAATAAGTTATTGCATGTATTTTAAAACCCTTCAAAAATTCAGTTTGATATTCAAAAACAGTCCATCCATTTCTCCCATCCCCTGATTTTTAACATCACAATTATCGCATATAGTTTTGTGATTGTTCATTCAGTGTTTGACTTTCCACTACTAGAGTATAAGCAGCTTCCTGATGGCAGAGACAATGACCCTGGTGGCATCCGTCACGACGGTTCCCCGCTCTGTAGCTCTCTCTACCTGGGCACAGGGAGGTTGAGCTTCCTTGCTTTTTTGGAGGGGAGCACGGCCGCTGACTTGCAGCAGCCATTGAAATACGAGCAGAAGTGCCACTTCCAGGTGGAAGACACGAATGTTGCGTGCGCCTCCCCAGTCCCTCTCCCTGTCCCAGTGAGCGTGGAAGCAGGTTTTGAGATGGAGGTACAACACCGAGGCTGGTTCGACATCGAGGGTGGCTACTCTGGGGAATGACCTAGAGCCACAGCAGACGTCGATGAGTGAGGAAGAAGTCATAGTGCCTACGCCTCTGAGAACTTGGGGTGGTTTATGGCAGCAGCAAACCCTAACGTACCCGACTATTACAACCTGCGACACTCCACAGCCTGGCGTAAGGACTGGCACCTTGTAAGCGATCAAATATGTTTTCAGTAAACTAATAAATGGAAAATTATAATCATTAATAAAAATGATTTCGGTTAAAAAATAAATTTTTTTAAAGATTTTATTTTTATTTATTCATGAGAGACACAGAGAGAGACACAGAGACACAGGCAGAGGGAGAAGCAGGCTCCATGCAGGGAGCCCGACAAGGGACTTGATCCCCAGATCCCAGGATCACGCTCTGGGCCAAAGGTAGACGCTCGACCGCTGAGCCCCCCAGGCATCCCAAACAAATCATTTTTAACTGAATTCTGGGTATAGTGAAAAGTTTTGGAAATTTTAACTGATTTGGGTATGGGGATCACTATCGTTTCGATACTGAACCATCATCTTGGGTATCTAAGTCAGAGTCACACAGGCTTCGCTCTCCAAAGGGGTTCCATTAAAGTTTTGCCAAATTTCAAATGAGTATCTTTTTCTTTGCGGGAGGCTTTTTTTTTTTTTTTTTGATTCACTTATTCAGGAGAGATATATAGAGAGAGGCAGAGAGGGAGAAGCAGGCTCCATGCAGGGAGCCCAATGTGGGACTTGATCCCAGGTCTCCAGGATCACGCTCTGGGCTGCAGGCAGGTGCTAAACCGCTGAGCCACCGGGGGACTGTCTTTGCAGAAGTTATAAAAGACTTATTTCTGCCATGGAGTTGCTTACTTACATGGCCTTTATTTAAAGGTACCCTTGCCTTACATAAATTTTGTATATACATATGCAAATTTATTTTATATATAAAATTCATCTGTGTGTGGCCCTTGCCTCCATGACAACCACACCCCAGATACAGAAATTCTTCATAGTCATGGAGATTACACCAGAACCTGGAAAAACCTCTCAAGGTCAAAAGCCCTCAGAAAAACATGTTTCGCAGATTGAATTTGCAGGTTTTCTGGCCGGGGGAGGAGCAAAGAGGGATAGGCCCCTGGTTGTGATATCTTTTACTTAGTCCGACAAGGATCAACAAATGAACCAAGACCAAAAAAAAAAAAAACCCTGAAAACCAAAAAAACCTCCCCAAACAAGCCACTAATGAAACAAAGCAAACCATCAACACCTTGAGCCCAGTTTAATCTGGTTGTGAAAACAAATGGAAGCTGCCCCGGAGGTCAGGTGGGGGCGCGCAGAGGAATGCACCGGGTCACGGGGCCGGGAGGCTCTGCAAGGAGCAGGCAGCCGCGGGGACGGGGGAGCTCTAGGAAGGCTCAGCAATGCCGCGGCCTCCCGGGGCGACCGGGGACCCGCAGGCCGCTCCCAGCAGCCCTCCTGGGCCCCGGGCCCCGCGCAGACGCGGCCTGAGCACCAAGCAGGTGCAGGTGCAGGTGCAGGTGCAGGGTCAGCCTCGCCTGCGAACATACAGACCCCCGGGCACCTGGGCCACCCGCTCGGTGACTGCGCCCCCGCATCCTCCCCTGAAAGCGACGACACCGGCGCGCCCCTCCCAGGGCCGCGGCGGGGGCCTCGTTGGTTCACGCGTGTGCAGCACGCCCGGCGGCGCACGGTCCCGCGTGGGGCCTGCTGCAGACTGGGGCCTGCGACGCAGCCCTTGCAGCCGTGGCCTCGTGCATTACCCGCTTCTCCGGGCCTCAGTCTTCTCCTCTGCAGAATGGAAGAGTAATCATCCTTCCCACGGTCTCACCGCCCCGCGTTAGGACTATTTGCTCCGGTTAGAAGCTGAACAGGGTGAAGGACGAGGCCCCAGGGCTGAGCGCACGGGCCGACCGCGCCGAGGCTGCGGGCGCTGCAGGGCATCCGGGGACATCAGAGGAAAGGCTCTCGCGCGTGGAACGTGCAGCGGACTCTCCTTGGCAGGCGTGGGGGCTCGGCTCTTCCAAGGACCCCAAGAGGCTCACGGCCGCCTGCGTGAGACCCGTTCCCGGGGGTGCGGGTGTGCTCGCCCCGGTGCGCGTCCCCGGGGGTCGGCCCGGGGGACCGGCCCGACCCGTCCAGGCTGCAGACTCGCGCCCGGACTGGCCAGCAGAGGCCGCCCTGGGCCGGGCGCGGGGCCCCGGGGGCGGGGCGGGGCTGCGCGGGGCCGGGGGCGGGGCTGAGGACGGTGGGCGGGGCTAGGGCCCGTGGGCGGGGATGGGGCCGGGCCGCGGAGGCGGGGCTAGGGGGCGGGGCGGGGCGCCAGTGGGCGGGGCTGGGACGGCGCGGGGGTGCTAGGGGCGGTGGGGCCCCTACATGGGCGGGGCTAGGGGCGGTGCGGGGGCGGTCCTGCGGCCGCGGGGCAGACCCTGGGGCGGTGCAGGAGCCCTGGTGGGCGGGGCTGGGGGGCGGGGCTGGGTCGGCGCTAGGGCCCCTGGTGGGCGGGGCTGGAGCCCCGGTGGGCGGGGCGGGGCCGGCGCTGGGGTCCTGGTGGGCGGGGCTGGGGCGGGGCCGGAGCCCCGGTGGGCGGGGCGGGGCCGGCTCCGGGGCGGGGCTTGGGCCCTGGTGGGCGGGGCTGGGAGGCAGCTGGAGCCCTTGTGGGCGGGGCTGGAGCCCGGTGGGCGGGGCTGGAGCCCGGTGGGCGGGGCGGGGCGGGGCGGGGCGGTGCCGCGGGGCCGGGGCTGGGGCCGGAGCGCGCCGGGCGCCGGAGGACGAGGACTCGCCGCTGCCGGAGCCGCGCCGCGGAGCCTGCCTGTCCGCCCGCCGCCCTCCCGCGGCCCCGCCGCCCTCCCGCGGCCCCGCGCAGCCCGCCGGCGGGGGAGGCGCTCGCTCGGGCCGGGCTCGGCGCCGCGCACCGGGACGATGGTGTGCAGGGCGGTGTTCGCGCTCTGCGTCTTCGCGGCAGGTACTGGGCGGGCGGGGCCGGGCTGGCGGGGCCGGGGCGGGGGGCGGGGGGCGCGGGGCGCGCTGGGCCCGCCTGGGGAGACCGGGGCGACGCCGGCTCCGGGCTCCGCGGAACAGGTGGCCGCGCCTGGCGCCCGAGCCCGGGTGGGCGACGCTGGCCCCGCGCTCCCCGGGGTCCCGGGGTCCCGGGGTCCCGGGGTCCCGGAGCCCTCGCCGCGGCGCACCCGGAGCTCGCGCGTCCCGGACCCCTGCGGCTGCGCGGCCCCGAGGACGCTTCCCGGAGCGCAGTCGCGGGGCGGGGGGGCGGGGGGGGCCAGGCCGAGTCCGCGGGCCGCCGGGGGCCGGGACCCGGTTCTGCAGACCCTGCGGCCGCCGCCCCGCCCGGGGCCCCACTCCCGCCCCGCCCGCGCGGTTTTCCTCCCGAGTCCCGGGGGCTCCGGTTCCCGGACGCGGGTCCTCACGGCGCCTGGAGGAGCAGCTGGGGCTTTCCTGGCCGCCCCCTAAGGACGAGCATTTTGAGGGAAAGTTTCCCGGCTTGAGAGTTTCCTGTATGTTTGCTTCCTCTGTGCTGCGAGCCCGGAAACCCCCTTTGGGTTTTGGGACCCGCGCCCTTCGCTGTCGCGTCCGCGGGCGGTGCCCGAACACCCCGGGCGGCTCCGGCTACACCGCAGGCTGCGTGGGGCTGGGAGCGCGGGACCCCAGCGGGTGCGCATCTCCCCACCCCCAGGGGACCCCAGCGGGGGGCAGCCCCATATCCACGGGGGACCCCAGCGGGGGGCAGCCCCATATCCACGGGGGACCCCAGCGGGGGGCAGCCCCATATCCACGGGGGACCCCAGCGGGGGGCAGCCCCATATCCACGGGGGACCCCAGCGGGTGCGCATCCCCCTCCCCCCAGGGGACCCCAGCGGGGGGCAGCCCCATATCCACGGGGGACCCCAGCGGTGCGCATCCCCCCCCCCGCCCCCCCCATTGCCCTGTGAGGCAGTTCCAGGGACCCTCCCAGCAGGAGGTGTTCACTAAAGGACCTGAAAGGCTCCTTTACTTCCCTCCTCACTAGAAATCTCTCCATGAAGCTCAAGGCTCAGAGAAAGGAGCGAGCCAGGAGCGCCAGTGCAGGTTTCTCCTCTAGTTTTATCTCGTGGCTCCTCTTCCTCTTCCTAATTCGTACCGACAGCCCTGGCAGTTGGCGGCGCCTGCATTCGCCCCACTGGGCAGCGTCGGTGGCATTTTTCCCTAAGGAGCACAACGTTTTCTCTTCCTCGGTCAGTTTTAGAGCTTACCCAGCTGTTCTGGGGATGAGAGTATTGCCCGTGTCCGAGGCTGGAGCGAGGGGCTGCTGGGCCCACTGAGCAGCCTCACCCGCGTCCACACACTGGTTGGTGGGGTTGGGGTGTTGGTGGTGGTCAGAGCCGAGCCGATCGCAGCCTCCCAGTGCTGGGGCTCTCCTGACCCCAGAAGACATCGGCACGTGCCCGTGCTCGCCTTACCGAGCGGTGAAGCTTCCTCCTTCCCTCTTTGAAGATCCCTGTGTTGCTAGAGCTTCTTACGGTAGGTTTGAGGAAAAAAACATAAAAACCGGCGTAAATATCTCATGAGATTCTTTGCATCCCAAGGTAGGCTGTTTTCAGGAACCAAAATATCTTTTCTAGGAAAAAAAAAAATGGATGTGTTGGTCAAGGAGAGAGGGTGAGGGCTCCTGAAATGAAACTGCCTCATTCCCCGTCAGTCTCGGTAAGGCTCTGCTCAGTTCACACCGATGGCTTCTCTTCTATTCTCCTCCTCCCCCTCCCTCTCCCCCACCTTCTTCTTCCACTTTCTTCTCTTCCTGCTCCTTTTTTACCCTTCCAGTAAAATTCTCAAGGTGATACTTTCTTGAGCCAGGAATAAGGTTTGGCAGGGGACTTTTTTAGCTTAATAAAGGCACTCAGTGTATACATAGCACTTCCTGCGTCTGTCTGTGGACACCTGCACGTATGTGGGCGTGGTCAACGACCACAGTGTCTACATTCACTCGTATTTTAAAAAGAAGGAAGAGCCAACGCTTGGACTGTCTTCAGTTCTTTCAAAGTTGGTCGTGGTATGAGCCATCATGGCTATTTTGTAGACCATTCTCCAGCATCTCTGTGTACAGGCATGGAGGAGCACCTCCTCCGAATTAGAATACAGGCCAGCACCCCCAAGTTTCGGCTGCTGATGAGGGACGGAGGATGGCAGGCTGCAGGAGGCTTCCTCTTCATCCCTCTCCTTCTCCCCTCTGCATTCTCTTCTTTTCCCACCACCACCATTGCCACCCTCTGCTCTTCTATGGCCCCATTTATTTAAAAACTCCCTCACTGAGACCTCTGAGATATGCTGGAACTTTCCAGAGGTCTTTTCCAACACTCAAGGAGGACAGAAGGGAAACAAGCGCAGGTAAAAGAGGCACACACCTCATGACCCTGCTCTCCCCACAGAGACTGTCGCATCCCATCCCATCCCCGAGGCCCGCATCTTGGCCCTTGTGGACCAAAACCAGGAGAGCTCGAGAGTGCAGTCAGCCACCCAGCTAGAGAGCCTGTGTTCTGGCCTGACAGCTCTCCCCTGGGTGACTAACATCTAGGATGTCCTTGTCCCTGACGGGAGACCCCACCCTACACAATATGACACGTGTCGACACCTTCTCATCAGCACACTAAAGCCTCTACGTGAACCATAAATGCCTCGCACACACATTCATGAAAACGGCAAGGTTGCCCGTGGTTGCTTGGGAGTGGGGGGTGAAGGGTCGCTCATATTCCTGAGGCCGGGTCACCTCCTTTCCTCCGAGGTCTGTAGCACAGTCCAAGGAGTGACCTCTCCTTCCCGTGACACCTGACCTGCGAGGCGGAAGCGCTTCTCCGCCCTCTGATACAGTTGCTGAGGGAGTGGTGCAGAGTGCTAAGCCCGCAGGCTCCGCAGCTGGATTGCCCAGGCGCAAAGCTAACATTACTTGCCAGGTGTGTCATTTAGGGGCAAGTAACTTAACCATCCTCGGGTTTCCTTTCTACAAAATTGGGGAAATAAAACCTCATAAGGTCGTTGGAAGTCTTAAATGATTACATATACTTAGAGCGCATGGGACTTAGGAAGCGGTCAATAAATGTTAGCCACTGTTGTTCCTATTAACGCTATTAATGGTGTTTGCTGGCGTTTAGTGCCCGTTAGGTCATCCTCTCCGAGGCAGAGCTTCTGCTTGTGTGCTCAGGCAAAGTAGATCGAGGATCTCCACTGACGTTGCAGCACGGTGCCAGCTGTTGCGGCAAACCTTAATGTGCAAATTAAGAAAATATTCAGCTGAGCCTACTGTATGCCTAATTTGAAAAGGCTAATAATGTGCCAGCTCAGATTTAGCACAACAGTCAAAAAAAAAAAAAAAAAAAAAAAAGACTAGTAGAAGTAAAGTCTCACCGAGGGCTTGACTTGTTCCACAAAGTGTTTTGCTTTCGGAAGGCCCAGCTCAGTAAACCTTTAAGTCAGATTCCCAGAACCACACATTTTGGATGAATCAGATCAAAGAACTTAGGAAAAGACCGTTCACGGTACCTGAATGATCCAGAATGGCTCTCAAGAAAGCGCAAAAGCATTAGTAATGGGCATGTCTCGGATTCACCTTGACACCTGGGCCAGGTCTAAGCGTGCTTGTGTTTTTATGCGGAGGACCCTGGCCCAGGGTTCGCGGTGTCCGGTCAGACTTTGTGAAGCAGTAATTCTCCCTGTGAGAGCGGGGCCTGGGGATGTGGCTGCAGCATCCGCTGCCACAGTGAAAGGGACATTTTGGAAGTGTTTCCACGCGGGGTTGGCGGTCTCAGCGCCAAAGCGAACGGAATCCTGCCATCGCATTGCCGGCAGTTCGCTTCCTTTCGGAAGCATCTGTCCTTAAATGGGACGTGTTAGTTCGGGAATCGGATGTTTGCTTTGCTGTAAGACACTGAATGAAACAGTTTGGAAAAATTAATGTTTTCATTTAGAAGACGGTGGCAATTCCGAGAGAGGTAGGCGAGTAGAGTGTGTGCCTTTGGCAGTGATTGCTCTTCCCTTGGACGTGCGGGGCTGGTGGGTACCGTCCAGTGAAGGTGACCATAAATAAGACTGACTTGTGTGCGGCATGACTTTGCTTTAAGTCACAGCTTAAGTTATTTAAATCACAGAATTTGTGTCACAGCACATCTCCTGGCGTGTGGATCTTCACACGTGCCGCGTGACCCTTACACCCGCGTAGCCCCTTTCTTCTACCTTTTACCTGTTCTGATGTCATTTCTAGACCTTGAGACGTTTGCCACTTTTAAGTACCAGAAATCGTTACAACAAAATAGACAATTACATAGTTTTTTCGGCCTGTGTTTTCCGTCGGTGCAGGGTAGTACAATGTCAATTGAAAATAAGCTGTTGTAATTTTCCTTTGGCTGGCGTTGCCAGGTTTAGCAAGTAAAAATACAGATTGCCCCGTCCAATTTGTATTCCAAATAAACAATGAATTCGAAGTGTGTCCCATACAATAGTTGGGACACACTTGAACTAAGTAATTCTTCATGGTTTATCTTGAATCCAAATCTAACTGGGCATCCCGATGTACGTCATCTAGAAGCCGTGCATTTGGCCTTTTATGTGTGGTTCGTCTATACAATGGGCCTTGGAGGGGATTGGCTTTATCTAACCACACCTCACCTGGTGTGGGCTGCCCGGCTCCATCTCAGTCTGTTCACGGGAAGGTGGGGAGGTTTCAGGGCAGCTCCCTCCAGGATGGCAGCCGGCCGGAGTAGAGTTCAGAGGAGCTCTCCAGTGAAAGGTTTTAGTCTGATTGCATTTATTTATTTATTTATTTATTCATATTTTAAGATTTATTTATTTTAGAGAGAGTGTGTTTGGGCAGGGGAGGAGGGCAGAGGGCAGAGGGAGAGGGACTCTGAAGCAGACGCCCACCTGAGCACAGAGCCCAAGGCGGGTCCGAGTCCCTGAGATCATGACCTGAGCTGAAATCAA